CAGTTTTACTAACGTCTAATCTTTGATCTATCACACTCATGCTCACCACTGTTTATTGTCAAGTGCTTTATTCAGTGAATAAATTCTATCTCTAATTCACATGACACAACACAACCGCACGACTAGAATAAAAAAAATACAACGTACGCAAAACTGGATAGGTCAAAATTGCACGCTAGATAAAAGGGCAGGGTACATTGGTTGGGATTATCTCGTTACCTTTCTAGTTGGTGGTCACTTCGGGATCCCTTCTATGGAGCTACTAGGTTAGAACCAATGAACGTATAATTATGCACGAATACAGAGTTCAGACTCGGGCGGCAGTGAAAAATATGTGGTCACGGTCGGGTGAAGTTGTCTTCATTGCAAACGCTGGGCGTGTCAGGAAGCGGATAAGCTACAACAGTTGATGCAAAACGAGATGGCACCGCGTCAATCCTAGTACCCCTCACATGGCTCAGCGTCTGCGGCAAAAACGGCTAACTTGGATAGCGGAACCCTTGACGGCGCGGATTTTCGCTAAGGAGATGAAGCCACGTACCCGGGTGCGATAACAGCACGTGAATACAGGAGCTGGCAAGATAGATCTCCACGACGTGTAGGATTAAAATGTCTAGCAAGACTGAGCTCGGTGCCCCTGAGCAGGCGCTGCAAAGCGCTTTTCCTAAGGAGGGCACCCTTAGCGCACATCTCAAAAAAACCAAAAAATGAAAGAATTGTTCAAAAAAAAAACCAAAGCTTTCTTTTCAAAAATAAAATCGCCCAAAAAAAAGAAATGCTGCCAACGTTCCAACCAGGACGCCGAACCCGAGCAGTCAAAAAGCGCCAGTCTTTGTCATTTACCGACCAGGGCACACCATCGTTGTGATCATCACAACGGTGGTGTGCCCTGGTCGGGTGAGGGGTCGTTTTTGATCGCGCGGGAGTCGGCGTAGTATAATATTACGCCCGAGAAAAATTTTTTTGATAGTTAACTACTCTACTTTCGCGAATGCTATAAAGGGGGATGATTATTTGGTGGTTGGTGGGAGAGGGACTGCCGAAGATCTATACAACTACTATTTCCGATAGTTGAAAATGATAGTTAAATCCTGACGACCTCCTCCCCCACCCCCGCTCGACAGCAAAATTTTGGGGAAAAACCAGAAATTTTTCGGGAAAAAATGGAAAAAGTGGTAGGAAGTTGGGAAAATCTAGGAAAGTGGTAGGTAGCATAGGGGGTCGTATTTTTCAGGAAATGATCACAACGCGATGGCGTGCCCTGCTGCCGACACGCTTTGCCCCGTGACGGCAATTCTATCCCTGAGAAGAATCATAATTCATAAAAAAAAGTTTTAAAGCGTCTATAATTACAGACTTGTAGAAATCTCAAAAAAGTCAGTGCCTAGGTGTAAACGCACGATAACTGATGAAATCAGAAGATGCATCGGAAATCTGAACATCCCCGCATGCTGCTGAAATGAAAACGACGTCGCCTTGATGCACTTCGAGATCCAATGAACCAGATTTGAAGTGAGCACTGCCACCAATCACAATAACTATGGAACTAGCCGATTCTGCAGAGAATTTCGTTGCCGATGCCTAAAACATTGATGCTTGAACAAGAAAACAATGATAACACAAGTAAAACTCTCTCGAACAAGAACCTTTCCCTAATAATCATGATGAGAGAGAAAGGGGAGGAGTGGCAGCCTGATTAGTTCCCCTCCTCCGTGCAAAATCCAGCCGCCTGCCCTCTTTTAAGGCTGGGTCGGGGTAGACGAAGAGTTCACTCAATCGTGTCACCGCGGGTCAGGTACTCCTCAAAGGCGAACACTTACTCAAAACACGATTCTTGCGAAGTCCGGGGTTAACAGGTCCGTAGCTGCAATAACGCGCTACTTTTGTTCGCTCGAAAACACATGGAACAAGTTGGATAATAACGATACCTGGTTGCCGCCTCCACACTCCACCAGCGCAATCTTCAAGTTATTGCACTTGCGTCGATATCCCGAGATCGCACAGCGAAACACGCATCCAGCGGTAGAGGACAACCACATGGTAAACCAGGATAGAGGGTAAACGAAAACCTAGAAGTGAGAGGGCGCAGACAAGTAGCACGCGTATGGCAATGGTTAGGCCTACGGCTGGCCGTGCGGCAGCGCGAACGGAGTATGAAGAGGGCACTCGGGTAGCGCTCCCCTCCAGTCCCGTTCTCGTGTACTTAGTATGAGAAAAAGTGGTAGCACTGCGCAGTGGACGCATTGACCTCGAACATGACAAGCGGGACCCACTTTGGCGATTGTACAATTTACCTTTAAGTACGGCATCATTCAACCGAAAAAATTGTATATAGTTCGTATTACTCGTTTTCTACCACTTTTTGTCGCATGCGCGCTTCAAGCAAGAAGGCAGAGAACGGCTTTGACGGGGTGACACACTCATACTGCCTGACACGCCCAACCGTCCGCAGCGAACTAGAGTGTATGAATGCAAAAGAACGTTTCGGGAGTGAACATTTCTGCAAATTGTCGCGAATGTTATACGAACGATACGATACTCTTCACCACCAAGCTCCCCACTCCTCACGAGCCCTCTTCCTCCTCTTTCACTTCATAATGTGAGCCACCACTTTGAAGATACCACTCTTTCCTCAGTGTGTTTTGTAATCAAAAAATTTTTTTTCACTCACTTTTATCGCATAATGTCTTTGTAACAGTTGGTAATTTTTTTCTCATGCTGTTTTTCTTCAGTAGCCGATAGTAAACGTTAGATGTTAGGCAAAAGTAATGCAGGATTGTTGCTTGTATTTCATACTTATTTTATTCCAATAATATGTTACTTTAATATGAAGTGTTATATACTATTCGGAAGCTCATCTCATGCTCTTTCTAAATGATACTCCAAGATTGGTTGTAATTCATTTTATTATAATTTTTATTGACATTTTATTGCAGATGTCGAAACGTGAATTTCGCACTATTTTCTTCTATGAGTTCAAGCTAGGACGAAACGCTGCCGATACAGCTCGGACATTTCAGCGAAGTTTGGGGTCAAGGAAGTATCAACGAATCTACGGTCCAACGTTGGTTCCAGAAGTTTCGCTGTGGCAACACCAGCCTTGAAGATGAACTTCATGTTTGGTGGTCTGCCGCCGGTCTCATCCATCACAGCTTCCTGAATCCTGGTGAAACAATTACGGCAGAGAAGTACTGTCAACAAATCGACGAAATGCATCAGAAGCCTTAACGCATGTGCCCAAGGTTGGTCAATATGAAGGGGACTCCACGATTCCGGACTCTTCTCCACGACAATGCCCGACCACACTTTGCACAATTTACCCTCCAGAAAATAAACGGATTGGGCTATGAAACTCTGCCTCATCCACCATACTCACCAGACCTGTCGCCCACCGATCATCACTTTTCAAGCATTGTTTAGAGAGAAAGCTTCAAAACCAAGACGATGTCAAAAACGCCTTCAACGATTTTGTGGCCTCTAAAAAGAATTACAACCAATCTTGAAGTATCATTTAGAAAGAGCATTAGATAAGCTTTCGAATGATATATAACACTTACATTTTATTGGAATAAAATAAGTATTAAATACAAAAAAACGAAATCCTGCATTTCTTTTGCAACGACCTAGTAAATGTTAGATGTTAGATACGCTCTCAGATGATATCAATATCACTTCGAAAGGCCGATTTCAAAATTCTCCGCTAATAGTCGGGCTTTTTTTCAATTCGTAGAGATTTTCTTCTGGGTCTAGGTTGGCCAAATTACAGATACGTAGCTAAAGGCACCACTTTCAAACGATATAGTAGTCCGCTGAACTATCCCCTTTGCTTTCCTGCCTCTCCTCTATATGTCTCTGCATTTTTGAACGGAATGACCTTATAGAAGGCCCACGATTAGCCAGAAACCATTAAACATTGACGTCGAAACACTGGTATCATTTTCTTGGCATCATATCGCTTTTATCACTGGCTGGTATTTTGGCAGGGGTTTACATGAATGCCTCCCTTCCAAAGTAAGTAGCACCCGGTGAAGAATTAAGAAAAATACCTTAACAGCTTGCACGGCAAACTCCGGTACCGGAGGCGCATAAAGTGTGACGCCTGGTGCTAGATCCTTGTGAGGAAATATAGGCGGCCCACTCATTGCGTACGTCAAATTGGCGCATAATGTCCCAATATCCTTGAATTTCGGCGTCAGTCCAGCACGGATCGTATTGTCGGAGCACGCCATGCATTCGATACAGTCTAAAAGGGAAAACTGAAGAACGAAATTTACACATACATATATACCCTCCACGAAAACATTCTGAGCAAGCAGGAGATTCTGAAATGAAATCGCCAACTTCTCAAAACTTCACACCATTTCGTACGAGCATCCTCCTGCTAAGTACGACCATCCCTCCCTAACAAACTGATTGTGAGCTCGAAACGCACGGTACCCCTCGTTGCCCTGCCGGTAAAGCCGGGCAATCACATTAGAAAAAATGAAGGCCAAAAGAGCTATAGACTCCACGGCTGAACATTTAAATTGCATGCACCACAGTAGTTGCAGAATGCTTTCGACCTTTAATGGCTAGATTGAATGGACGGATAAATTCGATGCTCTCCTGTTGTATGCAATAAAAGGCATGGCCACTGACGTATTAGAAACCTTCAAGGACTGCGTCTCCGTTTTCGCTTCCCCAAGGTTTTCTCCAAGGATAAGTCCCACTTGAGCGTGATACCTCACCATTGCTGGTGCACCAAAAGGCATATGGGCAGTAAGTAAGGGATCTAAAAATGGTGCACCGAGGCAATAAGCATGAGGATCGTCGAGGAAGAGGATCTTCGGTTTGGCTACAGTCATAATCTAGTAGTTTGATGCACGGATAGCAAAGTTATTAACTGTGTAGGTCATGTCTGCGCTCTGAGCCACGAGTTCGATCCCTGCCGAGGATCCGAGGTACAAACTATGGTTTGTGGAGAGATCGAAGGGCCAAATTAGAAGCAAAGAAAAACGTAATATTGGGAAAAGAATACACTCCAAAGCACAAATGAACCGTTTCGCTTGTTATCGCAGACGAATCATCATTGTCTAACCGTGCGGAAAAGAAGGAGAAGCCTAATTGTACATAATATTCGGAACAACAAGGACTACTCTGAGGATGATACCCCAGCACTCTCTCGACGGCAGAACGTACAACAGAAAGCTATTATAAAATGAGAAGGCAGTCAATAGCTAACCTCCAGATAAGTATGCATGCGGCTGATTTGGCCCAAGAAATGTCGCCTGTCCAGGTTTCAGTGTGAAGTAGTTCAACAGGAGAGGAGCGAATACACCAACATCACCTGAAACTAATCTCACTCAGTCTCAACTAATCTCAGTAACCACTTAAGATGTCACATCTCATGAACTTTACATTTACACCATACAGCAGCGGGAATAAAAGCTTGGAAAAAGCTCAAGTCCTGCGTTCTTTTAAAAGGTTTTGTCACTTTTTTCAAAGCATAAAAAATTTGTATGCTCATTTTAGCGGAAAAAGCTATTCCAAATTATATGATCCGGCTGATTAAACTCCTTAACAGAACGGTTCCTGAAGAATTGCGTTGAGGCACGCTACCACTTTGTTATAAGATTCGTTTTCAAAGTTTGTGAGGCTTGCGAAAGAAAATAGGGCGCAGGTCGGCTACGGAGGGGGGGGGGAGCATTTTGCACATTCGCTGCTTCACTAGTTCCGGTTCACAAGTGACACATTGGTGGAACCTGTGAACTATTGTGTTGGGAACAAGCTTGTCAAGATAACATGACAAAACCTGTCAACTCACCAGAATGCTCTCTAGATGGGTGGACACGTCGATTGGAGGTAGCAAAAAAGCAAATTACTCCCTCCCTCCCCCCCCCCCCGTCGCCGAACTGCCCAAAAATATGACTTTGGAACGTGCTTAAAAAATAGAAGAATCCAAAGAACATTTAGACAGTCTGGAAATTCTAGCTCCTCGCACTAGTGGTCATGTGGGGCCGATACATGATCGCCGACCATGTCGCTGCGTTCACCGAAGAACATCGCAGTACTTTGAGGATCGGCAGAACGGTGTCGAGGAACCGCTTTATACGATGCTGCCGCATCCCATTTCCATATAAGATCGCAGGTCTTCTGAACCTGAAGTGGTCTATGCAATGAAATCACTTGGCAGCCAGTGAAAGATTGGCGTCTTTATCCTCCCAGACGAGTTTGGTACCGATCATCTAGTCTTGAATAGATAAAAAGTTTAGTTAGCCTGGGGGAAGCCTGTCTGGGATTTGACCCTCAGACTACGCACGATAGGTAGCACCATTTGCCACTAAACTACAATCGCTCCACCAAGAAATTAATAATAATATTGTGTAACTATGGCACATTCATGAATGCTGCTTCCAAGGGAATTGGTTTGGAGGAGATAAATAATCAAGAAAAGACAAAATGTTTCAAATTCAACTTTAAAGATTGTTTTTTCGACTTACATCACTTGTTTTTTCGACTTACATCACTACTTGTTCAACAAGGTCTCATTTCAAGAAAGAAACGCTAACCTCCAGGGTAGGCACTGTCCAGTCTAATGATAAGCTCGGCGAGCTCACTTCCTGAGTCTGAAACAAAATCTAATGAAATTCCGTATCTGAAGAACCAGCAGAAGAGCAGACATTCCACAAACAATCTCCTGAATTCATGCCAAAACTAACTTTTCTTGATGCGAGCCACAAATGCCTGCACAGCTTTGGCGATAGCTTCCGGCGGAGATGACCAAACTTTTGTGAAGACGTTTTTCAGTGTTTGCCTAGCCACCGTTTCGTTACTGTCTAAGAGCTTCGTCAAGTCTTCGCAATTGTCGATTAGTCCCAAGATTTCGGGACAACCTAAAAAGAGTACAAGTGACTGGAATGAGTAATAATGAAACGGAAGTGTGTAGATATAAGCACGCGAATTTCAACAACCGACAAACTCAGAAAGATACTAGAAACCATCTCCATAAAAGATGGCGGTATTATTCGACTATTACTACCCAAAAGCTGGAAAAAAATTTGCTGAAACATTACTTATGGATTATTCGATGTCCTGATCATGAGTGTGACATTCGCTTTTGATGCCGGCGCCATTTGGCGCCATTAGACGCCAATTTGGCATCGCGATGTCCTGATCATGAGTGTGACATTCGCTTTTGATGCCGGCGCCATTTGGCGCCACTAGACGCCAATTTGGCATCGCACTTTTTTCACCAACATCGGTGTAGATTTGCATACTGGGGTTATTCGGGAGACATACTCAAAAGCCAAACCTTTCAGATTGTCATGAATTTCTCGAGGTGGCCGGAAGCCACACAAAAGCTCGAAATCCGTGAGAGCGATGGCCATCTCCGGTTTATGATTTGGGTCCGGATAATGGGCTGGATCTTTCGCATGCAGCAAAACTGCTTCTTCCTGAAAGGAAATGAATATAATGTGTTTGGCAACTGAGACATACTTACATCCATTAAACTTAATTAGGTAAAACGCGGTAACGAGAAATAAGGCCAGAATTTCAATATTCAGAATGAATAGAAAAGAAACTTCAAATAATAGGTACAAAATATTGCCGTCACAAGTGAAAGGATTGAACGTGAACCATGACAAAATCGAACGTGAAGTTAGAAACCAAACCTTTGTCGGATGGCTCTGGACGGACAAGGCTTTCTCAACAGATAGAACCTTGAAGAGGAACTGTAGAGTACCTATAAAGAGTAGTTCGGTGAGCTTAAACAGTACTGAACTAACTCTACAAACCTTGCTCATGTTTTCCAACTGATTCCGGATGATTCTTTATGTAAGTTGAGAGATCCTCAGATGAATCTTCGAGTTTTGCAGGTCCATTTTTATGTACTCCCATCCAGAACTAAGATGTTCGTTTTCTAAGACAGCTGCACAAAGTCAGACGTTGCAAGTAACAAACAAAATACGAAGTCATTCTTGGCCTGACTTTCAGGAGTGCTCCCCAAGAGATTACTGAGGGGTACGTGGTATTTCTGGAAAATTGATACCTCTCCATACCTCACCCAGTGAAATGCTAGAGATACCCACTCGCGCAACTGGACAAGGTTTCAAATATTAGGTTATCTTGAAAGTTCGTGACATTTTCCAATTTTTCCGAGTCAAGCTATTCCAGTGAGATGAATTGCATGTTTTTCCGAGTCAAGCTATTCCAATGAGATGAATTGCAATTGCGAATGCTGAATTTCGATCAACAATAAATATACGAAACAATATAAACTACGCACAATAACAACAATATAAACTACGCAAAAGTGGTTGCCTTGATTCCATAGACTTTTTGGTTCCGTGCCGAGAAAGGCAGCTGGGTCATTTTTGAGGTACTATCAAAAATCGTATTTTTTTTACCCAGAAGATGGCCGCTGTGGGATTAGTTTAGATGGCGATCGGAAAGAGCTAAGTCAGGGCTACACAAAGACTGTGGTGGCAGACTGTGGTGGCATCCCCAGCTTTAGCCAGCTCGAGCAGTGTCATTTTCGAAACGTGTGACCCTGAGCTGTGGATGGAGTAGGCAAACATTGCTGGGTTGTGGGACCAAATTTCGGGAAATTCTCAGCCTCCCCTTGCAGTTTATTACAGTAGGACTCGCTGGTTAGCATAGGAACATATTCTTGGGGTGAGCTTCACCACATACACAGCATAACCGCCGTACTAGACTGATAGTAGTGCACGACCGGTTGCGTCTTTTTTGGAGGATCTAGCCACTGACGCTTCCAAGAATGATTCACTGAAGACACCCACTCCATAGCCACTTACAACGTTCTACCAGTCCGTATGGCATGAGCAGGAGAGGCTGTAGATAGTATCCACACGCACTCCCTCTTGCGTACAGGTCATTTTATGAGAAAACATTTCGCCGAACTTTAATATTTTTTGAGAGAGTGAAAACTTCTGTCACCTATGCTTTTAAAACCATGAAGTGTAAGAACCAGAGAGCGGTTGATTCGCACGAATTGGTTCTGATCAAGGAACGCAGTAGGTCCATATCCAGGGCAGCTGGCCTTCCTGGGCGAGGTCGCGCCATTCCAATGCCGTGCTATGGAAGGCAGTATCAGGTTTCCCCATTGACCACATAAATGGATCTCGAAATGCTTGCGGAAAGATCTGATACGAGGTTTTAGAAAATTTCACTAACTTTTGGGACACCTAATACGCGCTTCTTGTCCGCGCTCTCTTTTATGGTTGTTCCCTACCGCTCATGCGTGTTTCGCTGCGCCAAGCGGAGCATGGAGAGGCACTCGAGTACCACCACCATTCAACCTTATTTCTGAGGAGAATGGGATGATACCGCAGCCGCGGGCTCATTGGCCTCGAATATGACAGCGACCGTCCTCAAGAATAAAGGCTGTCTTCCACAACTGGGCTCCGAACAGTCTGTGTAGGGTTGTTGAGACCCACATTTCTTCGGCATAATGAGTTAACTTTCCTCGGTTTTTAATTCTTATCTAATAACCGCACAGCTCTGCTCTCGTGGTCATTTGAAACTAAGGTTGTGCACAGGCGATGAGCATAACCCTCCCCTCACAGAGCCGATGTGTACCGATTGAACAAGTTATTCTCCTTGCGGCACCGAAGAAACAGTGGAGAAACCAGCTGATTCGTCATTCTTGTAACCAATGTGAAAGCACCCCCGAACGTTTTCAGCAAAGAAAATCACAAGTAAAACAGTAAGACAGCAGAAAACTTATGAATTGTAACAGTTATAGAGGAATTAGACCAATCAGCTCACCTCTGCATATGGTTTGTCGTCATCCACGTAGCTAGCATGATGACCTTTTTTAACCAGTGCTGCTACAGTACTTCGATTACCTGGCTTACCCCAGTCGTAAGTTTGAACAGAGCAGATAAGTTTGTGCATTATTGCATAACTGGAAAATCAGACCATAATCGGAATTAGCTCTCTAAGCAAGCTAGATACCTTCTGGCGAATACCAGATAGAATCGGAAAATACTCCAGAACTAGCAAAAACTCTTTTATTGACTTAACAAGTAAATATTGCAAGTAATTTCTTTTTCGGCAGGACTGCAGCTAGCTGCAGCTATTGACTAGATGATATGAGTCGCTATTTACAGTTAGAGGTGCTTCCAGATGAGCGAACGAAACAAATAAAATGACAATCACAATCAAATAAAGCCAAATATGAGAATAAAGCTCTTGTTTACTGGTAACAAGTTTAAACTGAGATGGAGATGGTGCCTGTTCAAATCAACAAATCTGCCTCGCTTTCCAGAAAGGAAACAGCTCAGGAAAACAACAGAATGACATTTCGTCCTTTACAAAAGTAGTAAATTACACTACTGAAAGTAGCTGCCCTAGAAATCTAACTACGTTAACTTCCTTTGTTCTGGCAAGGGAAAGAAGTAAATTACACTACTAAAAGTAGCTGGGCCCTAGAATCTAACTAGTTAACTTCCCTTTGTTCTGCAGGGATAAACTAACACTACACTATTCAAACTAGGCATTTTCACCATCGTTCTCATCCAACTATCGTAGTTTTTTCGCCTTTTGTGAGGAGCAATGGTGTTGCCAGACGAATCAAGAACGCCCCAACTGGGGCCGTGATCAAGATACTCAGTACTGCGATGGTAAAAATGATAATACCGTTGTCGATATTCTGTTGCTGAGCCCCGCCTTTTGATCTAGCCATATCCAGAACCACCGGAGCTAAGGCCGCCTGAAATAGTTCGTTTTGAAAAACTTTTCAGAAATTAAAAGGCGGAAACCCATAAGGTAACTCATATCAACCGTAGCGCAACCATTTCTTAATGAACGCTAAGAAACTACCCAATTACCACTGCTGTTCATATTCGAACTTGGGTTCCAGGTAAACACTCCCTTGAGTATGCTTCATATTTAAAGGCAAGTGACAGGACAGATCCCCAAGATGTATAGGATTAATACGCCTAGCAGTAGAGAGAAAGGCGCCCATGAGCAGGTGCTGCGTGGCGCCTTTCCAAGGACGTACCCTTATAGCGCCCTACCAAGCTGCAATATATCGACCAGAACGCCCACCTTGCGCGCCCGCCCGTCCGACCGATGCTCATGCTTGTGTCGCTTCATTTGCGAAGTATAATTTGAAGCGAAGAGATTGATAGTGAAGGGATTGAGGTGGCTGCGGCGCTCCACGGATATATAGGTATTAGGTCATCCCATTCAAAAGTGCCGTCGGTTTTATTCGAATAAAACAAAGAGGAGAATAGATAAAAAAAGTAATATTTTGGCTTCAAGTTAAGTAAATCCCTCCTTCACCAATGACCCGCTCCCAGTGCCCCGAAAGCCTTTGGACCTCTGGTACCTTCGATTTTTCAACAAGTGCGAGTAAACT